AGTTACAGAGGAAGGGAATTTAGTGACAAGATTTGGAATTAGGTGACATGTGCGTAGGTATGAGTGCATAGAGAGAGATAGAAGGATCAACCCCTACTTCGAGGGCTCGAAACTAAGCAGTATTAAAAAAGCCCAGTCGGCCTACATTACGATGGTCCTTGGAGGTGCTAGGCTTGATGCTGGGTATGCTGATAGTATTGGTAGGGCCGATCGTGTACAAAGGCCGAGTCCTTGAGACTCTGCATTCGGTCTTGGCTATTACGGACTACCACTTCGACTGTTTTATGCAGCAGGTGGACCGATCACTAAGGTTGGTGTTGAGGAGGTGCTTGGGGTAAGATGAGAGCCTTTAGGGACATTGGGATGGTTGGTGATGTTGTGGACGAAGCCGTGGTCCGACTCGAGAAGATTCGTCGGAAGGTCCTACACGGTCATTATGAGAAAACTGGTTATCGACAAACCTCTGCGGACCATGAATAGCAACATGATATTTCTCGTGGGAACTATGTTGACTCGTGTTTGTTAATCGCAGGGAGTCTCTGTAGGTTATCATTAATGGCCTCTCGAGGGTACTCCCGGATCAGGAAGGTGGGCGAAGGGTCCTTTGGGAAGGCATGGTTGGTTCGAGGAAGAGATGGACGGGAATACATCATGAAGACGATCGATGTGAAAAGGATGGATAAGAAACAGAGAAATGAAGCTAGGAATGAGGTCAAGGTATGCTGGTCGGGCGAGCGCTAATGCTTCGATTTGATTGATATTTGACAAGCTGTGGCGTGTTGATAGGTGTTGTCGTCATTGAAGCATCCGTATGTGGTGTGCTATAGGGACTCCTTTTTCGAGGAGGCCAGTGGGCTGTGCATCATTATGGACTACGCTGAGGGGGGTGGGTCGGCCCTTGTACGTTCCTGTTGTTTTTATGAGCCCTTTTTAAGGGGACCTCGCTGATAGAATTCGCAAGGCGCGCGATGCTGGTGTTGGATTCCCAGAGGCACAGATCGTCAGATGGCTGAGTCAAGCTGCACTTGCTCTGAAGTGACAGTGAGATGTGCT